GGAATTCATCTCAGGACCTCTGAAAGAACAGTCAGTGCTCTTAACCGCTGAGACATCTCTCCAGCCCTGGGCACTATTTTCTAAACCAGAAGTTGACAAACTATAGCCCATGTGCCAAAGGTAACCAACTGCCTTTTGGGGAATTAGGAATCAAAAGCTAAGAGTAGTAGTAGTAGTTGTTGTTGTTTTCGATTATGTTAAAGAAAGTTAACACTTAAATCTAATTCCTGGGCCAGAGAGAAAGTTTTTTAGGTAAAGTTTGTTGCCAAGACTACTGCCCTGAGTTCAATCCCCAAGACCCACTTGATAGGAGAGAACCAACTCCCAAAAGTTGTCCTCTGACTTCTACATACACATAATGGCATGTGTGTGGCCCTCTACAAGTACACTAAATAAATATAAAATAAATATTTAACTTTCAACTTTTCTTTAAAAATGTGAAGGCATATTTCGTCAAATATTAAGACACTGGACACTAAAAGAGAGGTCAACCCCAGTCATTGGGGTCCAGTGTATCTACTTTTTTTCTTGTGTGCGCTTGTTATTACAAAATCCAAGACATGCTCCTAGTTTTTGTAACTTTGGCACACTGCTCAACAGGAAGATTTCTTGTAGTTCTTAAATGGTTGGAGGAAAAGAATCCACATTTTATGACATTTGTGCATTCCATCATTCTCGAATTTCTGTGTCCACAGACAAAGTCTTGTTAGAAAACAGTCATTCTGTGTCTGAGGCTGCTCTCCCCCTGTGGTGGCAGAGCTGAATATCAGGGACAGAGATCATGTGACCAGTTAAACCTCAAATATGCATCATCTGGCTCCTTGCAGAAAAATGTGTTGGTCCCTCTTTTAAGCACTTCACAAACAAAAGAAGACAATCTACTTTAAAACAAGAGCTAACGAGGATAAACACTATACATCACTTGTAAGATAGGCTAGGGTATTTAAGGGTGGTTGTCAAAGCAAAAAGGGGGCGAGAAATGCAAGCCAGGAGCACAGGGTCAGAAGGATAGCAGGCTGCACTATTAAATTTCATTTTGATGTATTCTCAGAGATAGTTAACATCTCACTTAAGCCTACGACAATCATATTTTCAGTCTAAACACAATTTGCCTGTTACAGGGAAATTACTATAGCCATGCAATCAAGAAAAATCTCCAGGAAGGACTGTAAGCAGAAAGTGAGTTGGGATTTCCAACCAAGAACAGTGGTTGTCTGCAGAGCTGCTTTAGCATTTATGAAGGTTGTGTGGAGAAGCCAATGCTCTGTGCCACTGGGTATGGGTGGGAATGAATACATGTACTTAGGCATGTCTAGGTACATGTGTGTGTGTGTGTATGTATGTGTGTTTGTGTATGTATATGTGTGTATGCATGTGGGTTTGTGTGTACATGTGTGTGTATGTGTCTCTGTGTGTACGTGTTTGTGTGTGAGAGCATGCATGGGTATGTTCTCGAATGCGCTCTTTCTTGTGGATAGAGCAGAGATCATTTTAGGTGTCTTATCTCTCATTGAACTGGATGTTACCTGCTTTAGCTAGTCTTGGAGGCCTGTAAGCCCTAAGATCCATTAGTCTCCACCCCACAATGCCAGGGTTACAGACACCTGCAGCCTTGCCTGACATTTTACATGGATGTTGGGGATTCAAACTCAGGCTCTCATGTTTGCAGAGCAAGGATTATTACCCACTGAGCCAGCTCCCTGGCCCTTCATTGGCACCTTGACCTCAGGCAGACTGAGATTTAATTGTTCCTCTAACCTTTCTCATCTGGATATCTGGGCTGTTTTAAGCAAATTAGAATCAAATGCCCTGTGCCTCAACTTTCCTCCTTTGGAAAGTGGAGGGAGCCCTGTCTTCATCCACTGAGGAATGACATCGTTTCTAATGAGAGCAAAAGAGGCCAGCATGATCCTGGAGAAGTGCTGCAGAAACGTTCGTTTCCTTCCCTCGCTTCTAATCAAATCTTGGTTCTTGGCTCCCAATTAAAGATTTCTGAGAGTTCCCTTTAATCTCCTGTGAGTTTTTGAAAAGCCCAAGGCCAATCCAGACAAAACAAACAGCAAATGACCAGGAGAAATATTCAGTGCCAGGATCCCCACTTCCTCACAGCCCCTGCCCAGAAAGCAATGGCCTGCCTGTGCTGTGTTCCTGCCAGAGTCTTTATTGCACACGTATTTCTTTTTTTATCCCTTTCTGACACCCCTTCCCCACTACCTCCAATACGGCTCTCTCTGTTGATGCCTCTTAAGTCCTTAAGTGTTTCCATGATGCGGTTATCTGGGCCATCCTTCAGTGGTTTCTGGGACATAAAAACAGCTAAATTAAATGTCAGAAGCTACACTTGATAAACTGTACAAATAAATAATTTTCTTCCCCCCCCCTCCCTAGGATACAAAGAATCCACAATAAATTTGAAGCTGCATCCCCCTTAAATTGACCTTATTTCTGGTCATTATTTTGAAATATTTACAAAGTAATTTTATTGTTTAAACTTTCCACCTTCTGTGTTCTTGTGAAATAAAATGGAAATGATTGTACATTTTGGTCCTTTCATTGACATTTAATAATGTTCATATTATGATGTAGAAATTGAAATGCTGTTGTTGCCATAGAAATAAGAAAATTAACGCCAGGCAGTGGTGGCACATGCCTTTAATCCCAGCACTGGGGAGGCAGAGGCAGGCAGATTTCTGAGTTCGAGGCCAGCCTGGTCTACAGAGTGAGTTCTAGGACAGCCAGGGCTACACAAAGAAACCCTGTCTCAAAACACACAAAAAAAAAAAAAGAAAGAAAGAAAGAAAGAAAAAGAAAGTTAACAATATACACTTACAGTCAATGAATGGTTTGTTTTTCATTTTTCTTGTTCTGTGAGGGGCGTTTCATTTGAATGCAATCCCATAGCACATAAATTAAGGGACATTTCTCTCAGGTTTTCTTTATTTCTACCACCAAAGGGGACTCTAAATTTTCATGACACAATTAAAACGTGGAATTGTGGCCTGTGTGGGAAGCATCATCCTCTACCCAGCATCTCTCATTCTTGTTTTTGATCTAATATCAATCCACGTAAGAACTAAGGATGTCCCTTCATTGGTAGAGTGCATGTGTAAGGCATGGGTTTGATCCCTGTCACTCCACAAAATTGGGTGTGAGGGTGACACCTGATATTCTGGAGCACTGCAAGTAGAGGCAGAAGGATCAGGAGTTTAAGGCCATCTCTCCCACATATCGAATTTGAGGTTAGCCTGGGGTACGATGAGACCGAGTCTTAAAAACCCAATCAACAGACCTGTAAGACAGCTCAGCCAGTAAAGACCTTTGTACCAAGCCTGACAACTTGACTTTAATTCCTGGGCCTCACATGGTGGGAGGAGAGAACCAGCTCCCACGTGCAGTCTATCGTCTGCCACATGTGTACTGTTTTAACCCATACATAAATACTTTTAAAAATTACAACACACATAAAAAATTCAACTTTGCAAACAAACAAAAACCATTTTGTAGTTAGAAAGAACCTTGGAGACACATTAGGCTGAGTTCTCAATAAAGCTCCAAGATCTAAGTGGTCGTTATACGCTCATTCCCAAGAAGGCACTCCATGTGGCTATGGACTGACTACAGTAGAGATACTCTTTCTTAGATGGATCAGAAAGGTGTTTCTTAGATTCTCTAGTCTTGGTCTTGTGTCTGTAGCTCTCCACAGCTCAGTGCCAGGGTGGGTTTGAGTCATTGAGCCAGCTTAGTACCATCAGCATGCCTGGGAAGCTGTATAAACTGAGAATAGTGTTGTCTCAGGGAGCTGTCCTGTGAGAATGCTGCTACCCATCACAGTTAGAACAAACAGGTGCTCTGTATCAGAAACTCAACAGGCCTTTGAAATAAACAGGGAAGCTTCCTCCTCTTCCATTTTAAGACAGACTTCAATTTCCCTGTGGTCAAATAGAGATCATCAGAATTGCTAATTCAGTCTTGCTGAAAGAATCAATGGGATTCAATGTACGACGGAAAGTCCAGTGTAGCTTGGATTCTCTAAACAGCCAGATCAATTCTGTTGACCTGATTTCTAGGTCCAGAACCCGTTTGATGCAGAGGAAGAGAACTGACTCTACAAAATGGTCCTACGACGTCCACACATGCACTGTGGCACACGCACCCCTATACACAGCACACAGACTCACCATGTAAGTGTTAGCTCAAGGGTTTGGGCTTCATTCTACACAGTAGTAGATGTCTTCAAACATCAGTCAGTATGGATTCGACTTATTTGAAAACAGACAAGTTCAGAGTAAACATTTTAGACATAACACTTCAGATATAAGACATAAACACCTTCATTTTGCAGATGTGATATCTGTGATGGTGAGAGGCTTCCTGACTTCTTCAAGGGCACAGGGCTGAAACATTGCTATCTAGCAACCCAGTGCAGGTCTCCCAGGCCCAGGGTCTTCAATCACTACACTGTTATCTGCCCCGTAATGGGATGATAAGATTTCTAGTCATGGTCTGGTGATTGCACACGTAGGGACTTAGTATAATGTCTGAGATAATAACACTTGAGCTTTCCCCTCAGTACAGGGCACCCTGCTTATTCATGCACCTACATCTTGCTTTCTTATTTCTGTCCTACTCTGTGCTGAAATAATTTAAGGTGACCCTCGGATGTTTTACCAACAAGCCAGATCTCTGTCTGCTACCACACTCTCTAAGACCTGGACAGTCCCATAGTTGCTTTCTAGAACTGAAGGAAGAAAATCTGGGGGAAAATGTAAACAATTTGAGAACCCTGAACAATATCCAGCTTTTGTGGGATTATATGAAACAGCTCAATAGAACTGCATTGGGTATCAACAGGTTAGTGTTTACCATTCTGGTCACAAAGAAAAGAACAGGCACTTTACTGTGTCTTTGTCTGGGAGAAGTAAAAGGGTTAATTCTCCACCACTGTGTGCTAAAAAAAATGTCTAGTTTACAGACTGGAGCGAATATGGCACCTTCGTTTTAAACAGCCAATTTCCAGTTTTGTGTTGGCTCTTGAAATTCCTGAGCTAGTGACAGGGGCTGGGGCAGGAGAATGGGCTGGGTTACTTACTTTGAATGTGGACATATGGGCTGTGGGAAGGAAACTATTTAAGATGGGGCTTAGGGAGAGGGGGGAAAAGTCGCCTTTCCCCAGCTGAGATTTTTCCAGGATGTCGTCATACAATTTCTAAAACCTCCGCGGAACAGTAGATGGCTCTCATTGGCTGTATGCAAATGATGTGCAAGCACTGGTTTCCTGGCAGAGGAAAACTTACACCAGGGCAAAGATTCAGCCCGAGCCTGGCTCTCTACAATCCTGAAAGAACAGCCATTCTTGACAGGGCAGTTTCAGCCGCTGACATGCCAGGAAGTAATTCCATAATGTCACTCAGGCTGAGGTCTCACCAGTCCTAAGACAAGAAGACACAAGCGCAGTGTGTAAGATTTAAGTTTCACACAGCCTTTAATACAAAGAACAAAAACCATGGGAGGAGCCCAAATTACATCAAACATTGTCACTAGCAATTAAACCCAGCATCAGGAAAGAAAGGGCTTCTGCCAGGAAATTGCAGGCACAACCTGAAGCC